TCCACCTCATCCTCTAGCTGTTGGGTCTCCGCCTTGCTCAGCCCTTCGGCAAACCCACCCCCTATTGCCTGAAGGTCAGTGGCTAGATAGTGGGACTAAACCATAGCAATGGCGTGGGTAGCGGTGGAAACAACGGCGTCGCGGTTGAAGCTCTCCCACGCCGTCTTACATCTTTCAATGACGATGTCCGGGCGTGGCGGCCTGCCGTCGGGCTGAGGAGCCACTTCTGGTTCGACGCAGTCGAGCACTGGTTTGATTCCAGCAACTACGGCGTCAAACTTGTCCCTTTGGGTCCGGGCGTCCTGCTCCAGCACATCGAATTCTGCCTTGACCCTCCGACGGTAGTCTGCAAGCATTACAAAGTTCCATCAAGCAAGAAAGTTACTTCAGCAGTAACCCCGACCAGGAAATACTCACCGTTCAGCTCCTCGGCCAGCTTGCTCGCTCGCCCTGTCTCCTTCGCCTACTCCTCCCGGAGTTGCTCGAGGGCCTGGCGCAGCTGGCCGAGCTCCACATCTTGTTCTACAAGTACAACAGTCATCACCAAAAAGTAAGCATATCCAACTATGCGAAGCACCTTCGTCGATCACACGTACCTTTCTTCTGCTCGAAGATTTTCTACAGTTGTTCCAACTACTCGGAAGCATCCTTCAGTTGTGTGGAGGCAGTGGCCAGCTGCTCAGACTTGCTCCACAGCTATTCTTTCGTAGCCACCAGCTGCTCAGACAGGACCCTCTTCTGGTGTTCCAGGTCCCGCGTGATGGATTCGGCGAGGTCTCGCTCGCGCCGGGTCCTCTGGGTGTTTCTCTCCGAGAGGTTCATCGCCTCCTTGAGTTTTCGGTTCTCCTCGGCGAGGGGCTCCATCCTCTTTATCAATTGGTGCCGGTGCTCGACAGTCCGAGTTATCCCCTGAAAATTCACAATGACAATGATTGAATTCAATCTCCAACGTCAAAGACGAATACTCAGGATTCAGTACTAACCTTGATTTGTTTTATTACTCCAGCGAGGGTGGATTTGAGCCGCCTCATCTCCTTGGGGTGTCCTCCTCCTTGACAACTACCACCTCGTCACTGCGCTTGCGGAAGATTCGGATAGATTGAGTTTGAGGCTCAGCACGAACGATCTCCTCCACCACGTCCTCCTCTTCCGCAGTAGCCAGGGGCACCACCGGGGGGCTCTGTGGCCGGACAGCGGGTCTGACCATGCCTTGCGACGCCTTAGGGGGCGTCGTTAGCTCCTCGGGCGCCACTGGCTCCATCGACCCAGACTCTGGTGCATCGCCAGCAACTCCAGCTTCAGCTCCCGAGGGCCCGATAGTACCCGCCGTTGCTTCGGGTCTCGTCGTCGACCCGTCCTCCGCTGACGCCGACCTCTTGCCATCCGCAAGTCCACCACAGTAGTGTTTGACTCTTCCGCCAGCTGTCGAGTACTCGGGGGCCCTAACACGGGAGTCGCCAGCGTTACCTCCGCCCCGAGATCAGCTCAAGGTTGCTCGTTAGTCTGGGCGGACGGGTATGGACCCTCCGTATGCCTTGCACTGCATCAGATCATTTGGTCAAGCGGCAAAAAAGCTAAGATAATATAGCAAAGTAACTCCAACATGAGGGTACTTACCGTTTGGTCTGTCGGTGCAATTTTTTGAATCGACGATGCCTGCCCGAGCCCCCAGGCGTGGCTGTGGGATCGACTCCCATGCTTTGGGGTGGAGGTCTCGCCTCCTCCACAGTCGGCCTCCGCTGCGCCTACTGCTCTGGGGCTTCATCTGCCTAGGGAATTCCCTCGCCTGCTGCCCGGGGACTTCTACGCTCTCCCTTGATTGCTCCTCCACGCGTGTGCTGCGTGGAGGTGCTTGCATGTTCGGAGGAGGAGCAACTGGATCTTCATCGTCATCAAACCACTCGAGCACCATGGCCCTTCGTGTTCGAGTGGTCTGGTCACCACCAAGCGAGATGCCACCTGGTTTGGGGGGAACGGCGACTGCCGTTTTTCTTTTCTTCTGGGCCGACTCATTTGCTGCTGCCCCTTTTCCCCAGACTTTCTCCGTCACCGAGGGCGAACTTTGCGTCCGACCAGCGTCAGTGCTTCTGGATTCTGATGAGGCGCTGGCCGCATCTTCCGTAGGCCGACCTGGTGGCCGGGCATCTACACCCCTTGCCCAATCACCCCTCGGCATGCCGGAGAAATACACCGCTCTTTCCTGCGAATGGATCTTTGCATAAGTGAATCAGTTCACTGTTCGGCAATGCTTCAGGATTAAAAGTATCGGGAATAAAAATTGAGATGATTACCTCGGGAGGCGGATTTGTGCAATTGAAGGCCCTCGTTTGCTTTGGCCAGGCGAACGAAATGTTGGGGGCGAACAGCTCTGAGGCCCGCTCTACGACATTCTTCTTCGTCAGCGGTTCCGTCCTTTCTCGGGTCCCATCGTCATCACCTTTGTAGTCAAAGCCCGGGTGGGCCCTCTCCTTGCATGGCTGGACGCGGCGCACTATGAAGCTTGCTGCCACCAGTTCGCCTCTAATTTCCACGCCTTTAATCAAATCGAGGAGCTCCCTAACTTGTTCCATGTCAGCACTATTTGGTTTCTCCGACTAGCTCTTCTGGTTCTCCGGGATATGGTGGACGTCGCAGCGGATTACAGGGTGGCTCGGTTTCATGTAGAACCACTTGGAATTCCACCCTTTTAGAGAAGTGTTCAGCGGTACGTTAATGTACTCGCTGGCCATTCCATCCTGGAGCTGCAGATATACGCCGCCGACCACCTTGAAGCCACCGCCGCCTTTCTTCTTCAAACAGAATAGGTGTCTGAAGAGGTTGAAGTGCGGCAGAACCCCCAGAAACGTCTCACAGAAATGAATAAAGATTGAGATGTGCAATATGGTGTTGGGGTGGAGATTGCACAGGCTAATCGACTAGAATTCCAGCAGATCTCGCAGTAAAGGATGAACAGGGAACCCCAACCCATGCCAGAAATAATCCTCAAAGACTACAACTTCATCGGTGTTAGGCATTGGGAAGGGCTCACCACTGGCTGGCCGCCATCCGGCGGTGACGCGGTCAGGAAGCACGCCCGCCGTCACCAATCTATCAAGCTCCACTTCCCCCGTGTGCGACGACGCCCACTCTTCGTCATGACTGGCTCCGGCACCTGCCTTCTTTGGGCTCGCCTTCTTCGGGTTCACAGCTCTCCTCTTCGGTGCCATCTCTCAGATTTGGATGGGGACTGGCACCGGCAGCGTACGTGGGTGCGAATCTGGAAGTGTGATGGTAAAGGATGAAGATGAAATGGCGAAGTGGCAAAGGTGGGAGCGCGGGGGCGGTGGCGCCGTTATAAAGCACTTTCCCCACCCTTTCGCATTCGAGGGTTTTTGGGGAACCGTTCCCGCGACTTGCGCTCCTCTGAATTCTCCGGCGCGGCTTAATGGGCCGTAACCTGGGCTTTCACGCAACTGCAGGCCACATCGCTCATTTATCGCCGCCGTTAGTTGTTAATCGCCGAATTCTCCGTCATTTATTGAGGCTCAGTAATTGTTACTGTATAGCCATTCCTCTGATTTTTTCTCCACGTTTGGACTCCTCTGTATCTCCGTGTGCAGCTCGGGGACTGGCTGCTTGTTCGGCTGGTCTTTTCACCATTTCTTTGTTTCTGACCCTGGCACCACGTGACTCCGTCACCTACTGTCAGGCCCAGGGACTAAGTGGGCACACTTCACCTTGCGGTGAATGTGCTTTTCGGGTCTATGCCCAGGGACTGGCTGCCTGCTCGGCTGGTTTTTTATTTTTCTTCTGCTTTGGACCCTGGCACCACATGACTACGCCATCTACTGTCAGGCTCGGGGACTAAGTGGGCACACTTCACCTCACGGTGAATGTGCTTGCTTTTTTCTAGAAGACTCCGCGCTCCTTGAGGCTGAAGAAGATTATCTCCTGCTCTCGTGGTTGGACTCTAAGTGGGCACACTTGGTCCACTGCGAGGAAATTTTCGTTTCTGAGCTTGAGCTCCTTACACCCTTATGGCAAGCCGTGTTTGGATCTTACTGCTCGGCTGTGGTCCTCGCTGCTCGCAACTGCTCGGCAACTCGTCACGATGGTCGGACCATAAATTCGACTGCTCGGCTCTGTTCGCACCTGCTCGGACAAGCACAGGACGGCGTTGCACAACGGGTACAAGGTGCTCGGGGACTAGCTGTGGGGGGGTACGACCCCGGATACCCACTGCAGACCACATGGGCTGCGCCCCCAGGGGCGGCCTAGCCCACAAGACGAAGCCTTGCGGGGCACGACTCTGCTTGGCGCCTCCCGCAAGACATCTGGAACATATCCTGAAGATACTACGAGATCTGTTAGGATATGTATGATCACAAGATTTCTGTAATCAGTTATTACTTTCCGGTTATCTCTCAGATCTAACCGACTTGTAACCCTGCTCCCCGGACTATATAAGGTGGGCAGGGCCCCCCTCCAAACACACGCAATATCATACGATAGCTAATACAAACCAACAGACCACAGGAGTAGAGTATTACGTCACTTGTCTAACTCGTGTGTCTCTGTTGCCTTCTTGTTCTTGATCTTACACTCATCTGCCGATCAATTTACCTTCGTAGGATACCCCTCGGAGGACTGCCGACGATATTCTGTCGACAATTTTGAACACCTAAAAACCCATTATATTTCGGAACTAAACAGATGCATAACAAAGGCAACAACATGATTGCACATGAATAGTGCTCAAGACAATATAATAAATTGAAGTCATCGAGCAAACATACAGAGATAACAATAATGAAAATGAAAAGTAGAAACGCTACTGGTACACTTATATGTATACCTAAAAAAGACTTAGCAAATTAAGCACAGCTGACGTGACAATCAATGGTACACAACAGGGTAGTCGTTGGCTTGATTCACGGGCCGGCAGTACATTTGTTCACAGCCACGTCAGCACTATTGTACTAGTAGGATATTTGTGTGCAATAAATTAGTAAAGTAATAATTTAAGTACCCCAAGTTGAACTGAAAAAGTATTGGCCGCGGATGCCCGTGTCGATAATCTTAACGCCGCCCGTATACTCGTCGGTGCGCTTCTTCTGCAGCACGGCCATCATCGTCGGCACGCTGGCCTCCACGAGGCCGCCGCCGACGCTGGCCTGGTAGGCCTGCTCCCAGCTCTGGAAAGCGATCTTCTTCATGCACGCCACGTGCAGGTACGCGTGCGTGCCGCCGTAGCCCCAGCGGTACGCCCAGAACTTCTTGCCCTTGCCGCCGGCGCCGTCGCAGACGACGCAGCGGTGCTCGGCGTCGGCGGACTCCCAGCAGAGCTGGGCCTGCAGGTGGCCGCCCATCTCCATCTTGAGCGCCGCGCAGGTCGGGTGGAGGTCCAGGTCCCTGTCGAAGCAGTGGTAGACGAGGACGGGCGCGCGGAGCCCACAGGCGTTGCAGAACGTCCTGTCGACGGGCGGCGGCGCCTCGGGGAGGAGCTCGAATTCGACGCCATCGCCGAAGAGGGGGTGGTGCTTCAGAGTGTGCGCCGCAAGGGCGCAGGCCACGTGGAGGTCGAAGTCGCAGCCGTGTTCGCCGCACCTGTACCGCCGCCCCTGGCCGCTGCCGGGCTCCTTGCACCCGTCGCACCGGAACGGCGCGCCGTCCGTGGTCACCAGCTTCAGCGCGTGCGCCGGGTGCGCGTCGCGGGTGATCTCCGCTGGTGGCTCCTCGAACTCGAACATCCTCATGATTGGCTAGCTTGGCTTGCTTGGTTATGTTTGGTCTACGCCTGTCACTCGTATAGATCCTGCAGTTCTGAATTTGTAAACAATAGAGCGACGACTTGGTCCACCGCGTTAGAAAAGCAGGCGGTACAAGTCCAACGCGTGAGACTGTATGTACCCACTATATTCCTGAATAAGTATGGTCTCAAAGCAGACACGTAGACAAGTAAAATTAAAAAAAGAAAAAGAAACAGAGACGTAGACGTCCACTTGCCACACGATTTTTCCCCTGCAGCCTCTTAACTTAGCACAGTTGCCAGTTCCAATCCCAATGCCAACCAACATCAAATGAATCATCATGTACGTGAACGTCTGTGTCTGTATGGAATTTGGTAAAAAAAGACATATATAGTGACCGCGATATGAAGACTTGGTCACCAATACAAATGCAACATCACACGCTTCAGTCTCCCATTCCCTAATGGCAGTCCCTTGAGTTTATGCCATCCCCTTTCTCATATGCCATGGTAAGGTGCTAGAACCCTACGACAATGGCACAAATCCTCCACAGAGAGAGCACCAAAGGTGGAGGAGGCCCTCATGGAACACGAGCCCGCCCACCTCTTCGGCGCTCGGCTTCGCCGCGACGAGAGGGAGAGAGAGCGAAGCGAGGCGAGTGAAAGCGAGTGGGAGCGAGCAACAGGGGCATGGCCCTCTTGTCCGTGTGCTGGCCTGGCCGTCGCCAGCGTACGGCCACCACGTGGCGGCCGCGGCCTGGCGCGGTCGGCCACTGACGCCGCGCGCGTTCGCGGCCATCAGAGCCCAGCGTGCACGTCTGACAGAGCAACTTTGTGACCATGTAACTCCTAATCCGTGGTGAGTCAGTGCAAGGTGTGTGAACAAATCATGTAGAACTATGTAAGGGCTACAAGATTGCTTTAGAAATCATCTTCTAATTCGTAATGGTTTGGAAGTTGCATCACCTCAAAGTCAGGTACGTTGAAACTGTAATCAGCTCCAACACTTAAAAAAAATTCAAAGTCCAAAACAGTATTTTCTTGCTACTTGTGAGCTGTTTTTGAGCATGCTATGCATTGAATTAAGTCTTGGCCCAAAAACGAGAGTTGTTACTCTAGTCAAGTACTACAACTTTGCTTAAGGGTGCACTGCCATGCAAGCACTCTAAAGCATAGTTCAACATTGGTCAAACTAGTAACTTGAAAAGTGGAGTTTCTAGAATAACTATGACTTGGGGGTTGTTTTGGTCCAAGTCATGAAAACCAAACTTGTTCCATGTACCCTCCTAAACATGTTAAGGTGTTTCTATGGCCCCACAAGCATTTCATGCATTGGTCACACACAATGGCAAGCATATACATGCATATAGCTATCATCACATGTAACAAAAGTAAGGTGATTGAGATAACACTTCATATGCTTATGCTCATGGATGCTCAAATGATGCTCATGCTTATGAATGCAAGTGCCCAATGCATGCTTAACACTAGGGTGTTACAGCCACTCCCCTTATAGAAATCTTGTTCCGATATTTGAAAGACCTACCATTTTTCATAGAAAGTTGGATAAACCTCTTGTAGATAATCTTCCCATTCCCATATAGCATCTTGCTCACTATGATTATTCCACATCACTTTGTGAAACTTGATCACATGATTTTGAGTTACTCTATCCCCGCTATCTATAATTTGCACCGCCTTCTCTTCATAGGCTAGATCCGATTTTAACTTGATATCTCTAACCTCCACTCTTTCTTCTGGAACACCTAAGCATTTCATTAATTGGGATACATGAAAAACGTTGAAGATAGCTCTCATTTCTGGAGGTAACTGAATCTTGTAGGCTACTCTTTCGCTTTTCTCAATGATTGGATATGAACCTACATATATAGGTGCAAGGTTTCTTTTCACACCAAACCGTTGTACCTTTTTCATTGGTAGCACTTTCAGGTATACATAATCACCTACTTCAAATTCAATGGGTCTACTACTCTTGTCCGCATAACTCTTCTGCCTTGATTGAGCGGCTTCAATATGTTGCTGAATGATATGCACTTGCTCTTCAGCCTGTTTGACAAAATCAATACCATATTATCTTCTTTCTCTGGCTTCAACCCAATTCAAAGGAGTTCTACATTTACGGCCATACAAAGCTTCAAAAGGAACCATCTTAATACTCTCTTGATAACTATTGTTGTAGGAAAACTCAGCTAAAGGTAGCCACTTTTCCCATGAATCCTTTGAAGAGATGACACAAGCTCTCAACATGTCTTCCAATATTTGATTTACACGTTCAGTTTGCCCGGAGGTCTAAGGGTGATAGGCAGAACTTCTGACTAAGTTGGTGCCTAACATCTTGTGCAAATGTTCCCAAAAACGAGCAGTGAACTAAGGCCCTCTGTCAGACACAATGGTTCTTGGCACACCATGTAGACGTACTATGTGGGAGAAATACAACTCAACATACTCATGCGGTCGGTAGTCGGTGCTGACTGGAATGAAATGTGCAGACTTGGTTAGGCGATCCACAATTACCCATATGGAATCAAAATTCTTATGATTAGATGGAAGTCCAACAATAAAATCCATGCTAACTTCTTCCCACTTCCAACCTGGAACAGACAGTGGTTGAAGCAGTCCAGCAGGTTTCAAATGAACAGCCTTGACTCGGCAACAATTATCACATCTAGCAACATAAGCTGCAATTTCCTTCTTCATTTTGGTCCACCAAAAATGGGTCTTCAAGTCCTAATATATTTTACTACTACCCGGATGAATGGATAGTTTAGAAGAGTGAGCCTCACCTAAGATCTGGTTTCTAAGTTCCTTATCCTTCGGCACTACCAGTCTATCTTTAAACCATAGAATATCGTTCTCATCTATCCTAAAATGCTTAGTCTCTTGCTCTTTCATCTTTCTTTTGATGTGGAACTCACCCAGATCAGTCTTCTGAAGCTCGATGATCTTGCTCTCAAGAGAACAACTGATCATAATATTATGCAGCACAGCAGGATGTAACAAATTGAAGCCATCTTCTAACAGAGAATTGCAATGAGACTTTCTACTCAAAGCGTCTGCAACAACATTCGCTTTGCCAGGATGATAATGTACTTCTAAATTGTAATCTTTGATCAATTCTAGCCATCTTCTCTGTCTCATATTCAATTCGGGTTGAGTGAAGATATACTCAAGACTCTTAAGATCTGTGTAAATATGACACACATTGCCAAGCAAATAGTGTCTCCAAATCTTCAATACATGGACAACCGCTGCTAATTCTAAGTCATGGGTTGGGTAATTGACTTCATGCTTCCTCAGCTGATGTGAGGCATAAACAATAACTCGGTCTTCCTGCATAAGAACACATCCCAAACCGGTACCTAATTCATCACAAAACACATCAAAAGATTTCTTGATATCAGGTTGTGCTAAAACAGGAGCTGAAGTCAACAAAGTCCGTAAAATGTGAAAAGCAGCTTTACACTCTGGAGTCCACACAAACTTCTCATCTTTTTAAAGCAATCTTGTCATTGGCTTGGTGATTTTGGAGAAGTCCGGAATGAACCGACGGTAGTAACCTGCTAAACCAAGAAAACTCTGAACTTCATGAACTGAAGTCGGGGCCTTCCAATCCATAACTTCTTGCACCTTAGAGGGGTCTATAGAGATCCCATTTGCTGACAGCACGTGCCCTAGAAAAGGTACCTTCCAAAGCCAAAACTCACACTTGCTAAACTTAGCATATAACTTATGTTCTCTTATCCTGGTTAGAACAACTCTCAGGTGCTCTACGTGATCCTCCTCATTTTCTGAATAGACCAGAATGTCATCGATGAACACAACCATGAACTTATCCAGCTCGAGCATGAACACCAAATTCATCAGATATATGAAATATGCAGGAGCATTTGTCACCCCAAAGGACATGACCAAATACTATACAGGCCATGCCTACTAGAGAAAGCAGTCTTAGGTATATCTTCCGTCCTAATTTTAATCTGATGGTAACCGGATCTCAAATCGATCTTGGAGAACACTATAGCCCTTGACAAATGATCAAACAAGATATCAATTCAAGGCAAAGGATACTTGTTCTTGACCATTACGATTTTAAGTGGTCTATAGTCCACACACATCCACAAGGATTTGTTTTTCTTCTTCACAAATAAGGTGGGATGACCCCACGGAGATGAGCTAGGTCGAATGAGACCTTTCTCTAAAAGCTCTTGCAATTGAACCTTAAGCTCGGCTAGCTCATTTGGTGGCATTCTATATGGCCTCCGAGAGATGGGTGTTGTACCCGATAATAACTCAATCTTAAACTCTATATCCCTGTCGGGTGGCAACCCATGCAATTCATCTAGAAACACATCCGAAAACTCATATACCACTAGAATATCAAGGAGGGTCGTGGTCTAAATAGCACAGGCTAAGTTTTGGAGATCAAAACTCCTAGGAAGTGGCACTAGGAAAGCATTGTTACTCTAGGGTTCCCTCAACATGATGGTTCTAGTCGAAGTGTCAATGAGAACTCCATGGCCACTCATCCATTTCATACCCAAGATTACATCTATCCCCAACCCTAGCAATACTACAAGATATGAGGTATACTCTCGGTTGCTTATTGAGATGCGCACATCTCTGACTATCTGGTTAGTAGAGATATTATTCCCGGCTGCACTTATGCAATAACCACCCTTATCTACAGTAACTACCCTTTGATCATGCTTGGATGCAAATGTTTGACTCATAAATGAATGTGAAGCTCCAAAATCAAACAAAACAACTATGGGGTGTTGGTTCACAAGAAACATACCCGAAGTAACAACTTCACCTAAAGGGATCTCTTCTAGGGTGGTATAGTGCGTGTGTCCCTGACGTGCATTTGGATTACCCTGCTTCTAGTTGTTGTTCTTCTTAGGATAGGGGCAATTTCTTCCCCAATGGCCAGGCTTGTTGTAGTTCTAGCATGGCATGTTGCTAGGTGGAACGCTGGAGCTTCCTTGT